CCATCTTCGCCAGGCTGATCTCAAACTCCTGACCTCACGTGATCCACCCACCTCAGCCTCCCAAAGTGCTGGGATTACAAGCATGAGCCACCGCACCTGGCCTCCAGGGCTTTTTAAAATTGTACTATTTGAGGCCTGTTGCTCAAAGCCTGTGGTTATAACCCGTGCTTGAAAAGGAATAGTGATGAGGATAAAATGGCACTGAACTCGTCAATAGAAAACACATAAATGAGAAAGAGAAGGCAGAGAGGAGGACAGGAAAACAGTTGTCTTTTTGAAAAAGGACAAAATGATACAAAAATTATCTGGGTGTGGTGGCTCATGCCTGTAATCCCAGCTACTTGGAAGGCTGAGGCAGGAGAATCACTTGAAACCAGGAGGTGAAGATTGCAGTGAGCCAAGATCGCTTCATTGCACTCCACTTGGGCAACAAAAGCAAAACTCTGTCTCAAAAAAAAAAAAAAAAGAAAAGAAAAGAAAAATGACAAAATGTTTTGCCCTTTGGATTAAAAACCAGTTTAATCCAAGCTGTTCTTCCTCTGAGGCCGCATCAGGCTTTCAAAGATGCTGAGAAAGTTTCCATTGGCCCCCTGGTTTCTAATTTGGGCACACAGGTGATGTCATGGTAAAATGAATATGTGAAAAGTGCTTTGGGTGTCATATGGTCCATGAATAATTAAGGTGAGGATGACGGGATTCTTGACTGTAGAAAGGAACCCCTTTTCTCCCGCTTTTCTTTCTACAATCAGTTATTGAGACTATAAGTGCAGTATCTTAGTGCAATAAAAATTAGTTTATGTCCTGGAGGGAGAATTTATGAGTATGTGTTATGAAGAAATAAGCAATTACAGATTGAACATAATATACACGCGGTCAGTTACCAAGCAACCAAACTAGAAGTCTTTCCTGGTTCCCAGTTTGTTCAGAACTCTTTATTTATCCCAACTGATCAGCGCCTCCAACTTAGAATTGGAGGGTATTAATTTTGATCTAAAGTTCAAGCTGGGATGGACAATCTCTGTTCTTTTTGGTCACTTTCTGATTACTACCTCCTCCCATTATATCACACAAATGCAAGCGCCTAGAGCCCAGAATTGAGGAGAGTAATTAGTGGTAGTTTGCACAAGGGCATCGGGAAAGACAGAGGGTCAGGAAGACCAGCATGTCCCACGTGCCTACCAAAAGAAAATGCGTCAGCTGGCACTGGGTTGCAGTAAAAGAAAAGGTTGCAGTTCAGGCCGGGTGTGGTGGCTCATGCCTGTAATCCAAGCACTTTGGAGGCCAAGGTGGGTGGATCACCTGAGTTCGAGAGTTCAAGAACAGCCTGACCAACATGGTGAAACCCCATTTTTAAAAGAAAAAAAAGAAAGAAAAAGAAAAAGAAAATGAAATAGGTTCATATTAATTCTGTCTTTTTTTTTTTTTTTTTTTTTTTTGAGACGGAGTCTCTCTCTTGTAACCCAGGCTGGAGTGCAATGGCGCCATCTCGGCTCATTGAAACCTCCACCTCTCAGGTTCAAGCGATTCTCCTGCCTCACCTTCCCAAGTATCTGGGATTACAGGCATGCACCACCAAGCCCAGCTAATTTTGTATTTTTAGTAGAGATGGGGTTTCTCCATGTTGGTCAGGCTGGCCTCAAACTCCTGACATCAGGTGATCCGCCCACCTCAGCCTCTCAAAGTGCTGGGATTACAGGCGTGAGCCACCACAACTGGTTCATATTAATTCTTATTTAAATGTCTATCATTGTCAACAATGCTATTTTACATGATGGTAAATGCTCCAGAGCTCAAAATCAAGGGCCTCCCATGCATTTCAGGTAAGGATAAGTAAAGATGCCCGAACTTTGCTTGTACCTGCAGCAGAGCACAAAATGCAAGTGTTCATTACCCTGCAACTAAATCCAGTGAGCTGGAAATTCAAAGAGCAAACAAATGATTCAAGATGCTTTTATGTCGGCAATGTCTGGAGGGATAGAACTAGGCCAAGAATGAGGTGAGAGTCAAAGAAAGAAAGATCTGATGTAATTGTCTAGGTAAATTAGGAGAAAATATGGTAAAGATTAGTTAAGTATTTTAGATAAGCATAATTCAGCATTGGCATTTTCATTTAATCCTTCCTATAGTCAATTTCATTTGCTATGGATAGAGGCTAAAGAGACATTATCAACTAAAAATTAGAGAAATTTTAGTCATTTCAGAAAAAAAATTGATTTTGTATGCCTACTGTATTGAAGAAGTGATTTGTTCAAAAGAATTCTGGATAGACGCATGAAAGATAGTTAAGAAAATAGATTGATTCAATTCTATTTTGGGGGCTCTATGGGCACGAATGGGTATATCTGAGTCATGCTGTAGAATCTGATTCCAGAAGTAACTGAAAACAGACTCACTGAGTGCTAGAGAATTTTTCCTGGGTCCTTTCTCATCATCATTTCCTGTATTCCTGATGCTGTGAAACGGAGCTGGCCGCCGTCTCAATGCATGCACTTTTAGCTGGGGTGGCGGAAAAACCAACAACAATAATAACCCCAGTCTTATGTTCTAAACTAATGATTGTAAAGGTAATGAGACACACCGAGAGGCACTATGGAAAATGTTATGGTATGATATTAAGTGCAAAATGCAGGATGGAAGCTTGCATCTCCCTGCCTGCTTCTTTTTAAAAAATTTATTAGAGATGGGGCCTTGCTGTGTTGCTTAGCTGGTCTCGAACTCCTGGCCTCAAGAGCCCCTCCTGCCTTGGCCTTCCAAAAGTGCTGAGATTACAGGCCTGAGCCACTGCACCCAGTCTCACCTGTATTCTTGATCAAGTAAAAATGTGTACATCCTATGGGCATGAGGTGGAAACACTGTATTTATCAGTACAGGATGTGGAAACACTGTATCAATTATCTGTAATATCATGTTGTTTTTGAGATTAAGAAAATGAGCTGGGTGGGGTGGCTCACAGCTGTCATCCTAAAGCTTTGGGAGGATGAGGTGGGAAGATCGTTTGAGGAGATCAAGACGAGCCTGGGCAACATAGCAAGACCCCCATCTCTACAAAAGAGTAAATTATTTAATTAATATAATTTAATAAAGATTAGAAGATATATTGGAAAAATTAGGTATGTTGACTGTACCACATTCATAGATACAAATATGTGTCGCCTACAAATCAGTATTACCTGGAATTTCTCACTAATGTGATCAGGGAAACAGGGAAATGAAAACGTGAGCATTCAATCAATAAATAGTTGATTGATGGCCAGGCGCTGTGGCTCACACCTGTAATTCCAGCACTTTGGGAGGCCAAGGATAGTGCATCACTTCATGTCAGGAGTTCAAGACCAGGCTGGCCAAAAATGGTGATGCCCCATCTCTACTAAAAATACAAAAATTAGCTGAGCATGGTGGCAGGTGTCTGTAATCCCAGTTATTCAGGAGGCTGAGGCAGGAGAATCACTTGAACCTGGGAGGTGGGGGTTGCATTAGGCTGAAATAGTGTCATTGCACTCCAGCCTGGGTGACCAGAGCAAAACTCTGTCTCGATAAATAAATAAATAAATAAATAAATAAATAAATAAATAAATAGTTGATTGTCTGCTACATACAGACAATGCTAGGAGCTAGAAATATGAGGAATATGTGAGCTTGGAGCCAATAGGACATGCTTTCACACCAGGTGCGGCTGACTACATCATACAAAACTCATCACTGCATCACTGCTGTTTTAGATGTGTAATCTGATTGGTATGGGCTCACAGAGGAGGGAGAAGGGAAGAGGAAGAATATTTCAAAAGAGAGGTGGTAATTGTGTTATTTGCTAGAAGTATGAGTGTGGGGTGAGGCTTATGTGTGTATGCATGTGTGTGTGCATATATGTGTATGCATGTGTATGTGCCTGAGCACATGTGTGTGCACACAGGTATGTGTGTATCCGTGTGTGAGCATGTGTGTTTATGCGTGTGTGCGCGTGTGCATGTGTGTGTGCATGTGTGTACGTGACAGCTTCTTGTTTACTCTAGTACCATTTTGCTGCCTCTTTACCACCCCAATCTGTTTCTGGACATGGTGATGAACTCTGCATGTGTTATCTCATTTTATTCTCACAACTGACCTATGGTGATAAAATTATTCTCCTTTTTTATGGATTAAAAAAAAATCCTTCTTTAAAGTATTTGTAAATCTGGACATAAGAGCCTCTCTCCTTAATTTCAGTAACATCCAAAACTGAGATGCACCAGGCGCGGTGGCTCACGCCTGTAATCCCAGCACTTTGGGAGGCTGAGGCGTGGGATCACCTGAGGTCAGGAGTTCAAGAGTAGCCTGGCCAACATGGTGAAACCTGTCTCTACTAAAAATACAAAACAAAAATTAGCCAGGTACAGTAGTGGGTGCCTGTAATCCCAGCTACTTGGGAGACTGAGGCAGGAGAATTGCTTGAACATTGGAGGCGGAGGTTGCAGTCAGCCAAGATGGCGCCACTGCACTCTAGCCTGGGAGACACAGGGAGGCTCCATCTCAAATAAAAAAAAAAAAAAAAAAACAGCAAAACCTGAGATGCTCTTCTCTCCTTCTTCTAAGCATTAGGGTTCTCCATCTGCATCCTATGTGACCAGGGCAAAGTAAACTTGAAATTCACTCACATCAGCCTCCTTGCAATTTTGGGTGATGATGGGCTGTTGGTTATTTTGGTGCTTTAAAAAAGAAGTTAACCTTTATTCATCAGAGTGCCACAGTCACTTTGTGCAGTAAGTTAGGTGGTGAGGTAAGCTTGCTAATTAATTAATGTGCTGCCTTTTTTTTTTCTTTCATTTTTTCTCAAGTCCAAAGTTCCACAAATAATGTGCCTTTTAAAGGACTTTACCCAACTGCGATAAAATTAAACCCTGGAAAGAATTTGGCCCAATAGCCAGTCAGATGCCATGCCCTATAGCATACCCAGCCAATTGGGAGGACAAGGTGTGACAGTGGAAAAAGACAGGGTTAGGCAATTTTTTTAAAGCACTACATATTTATTGACAGAATATGTCTCCAGGCAGTATTCACATGCTTCAAACTGAAGCTCTTAGCTTGGCAGTGCAGTTTAAGCAAACAAACTCAGGCTGTTGAACACAATGATTAACAGGAAGCAGGGGAGGGGACACAGTCACTAGACTCTGGCCGGGAGAAGAGGCTGAGGTTAAGGTCTGAGAGCTGATGACTTGCAGAATAGTCACCTCACCCACTTGTGACTTCACCGTGGGGACAGGTGGGCCTCCAGGAATCAGAACCTCCCTGAGGCCATTTGTTTTTGTGTGGACACAGGTTGCAGGTTAGCAGGTGAACAGGCCAGCCAAATGTAAAGGAGCCGCTTCAGAAATGTGTCAAAGGAAAGTGAAAATGCAACTTAGCGGTAAACGGAGAGGGGAGGAAGAAAGAAAAGGGACAAAAACGGTGAACTGAAGGGACGGTGGACAGCCAGACCAGAGCTTCAGCCATCAAGAGGATGATTTTGGAACCTGGAGAACATGTAAGTTAACTATATCAACACTCTGATCCTATCTCAAGAGAGACATTTTACTCCCTTCCTGGTTGTGAATGATGGGCTCTTGGAAGCACTGTCTTTTTAGCGTGTCTCTCATTTCTGCCCTGATTTTGGTACTTGTTTACAATACTGAGTTATGGGAGAATAAACATTTTCTGAGGGCAGCTCTGTCCAATGCTTCACTGTTAGCAGAAGCCTGTCATCAGATTTTTGAGGGGAAAGTTTTCTACCCAACAGAAAATGCATTAAAAACTACCCTTGATGAAGCCACCTGCTATGAGTACATGGTTCGAAGCCACTACGTCACAGAAACACTCTCTGAAGAAGAGGCTGGGTTCCCTTTGGCTTACGCAGTGACCATTCACAAAGACTTTGGCACTTTTGAGAGGCTCTTCAGGGCGATTTATATGCCCCAGAATGTCTACTGTGTACACCTGGATCAGAAGGCGACAGCTGCTTTTAAAGATGCAGTGAAACAGTTACTCAGCTGCTTCCCAAATGCTTTTCTGGCTTCGAAGATGGAGCAGGTCGTCTATGGGGGTATTTCCAGGCTCCAGGCTGACCTGCACTGCCTGGAAGACCTTGTGGCTTCTGAGATTCCCTGGAAGTATGTCATCAACACCTGCGGCCAAGACTTTCCCCTGAAAACCAACAGGGAAATAATTCAGTATCTGAAGGGATTTAAAGGGAAAAATATCACTCCTGGGGTCCTGCCTCCTGAGCATGCAATTGGACGGACTAAGTATGTCCACCACGAACTGTTAGACCACAAAAATTCCTATGTGATTAAAACCACAAAATTAAAAACTCCTCCTCCTCACGACATGGTCATTTACTTTGGCACAGCCTACGTGGCTCTCACAAGGGACTTTGCTAACTTTGTCCTCCAAGACCAGCTCGCACTTGACTTGCTCTCCTGGTCCAAGGACACCTACAGCCCCGACGAACATTTCTGGGTGACGCTCAACAGGATTCCTGGTATGTACATCTCTTAGCTTTTATTTTTACCAATAGACACTGCATGGTCAATACTGAATAAGTTGCTTTGAAAAGAGTGGATAAAATGTTAACAAACTTCTTTACAGTTTTGAATGTTAAATTAAAAAAAAAATCTTCCCTCTGTGAAATGGTAAAATGGAGATGTGTTCTATCACCCACTTTTGTGAACAGCTCTGTTCACAGGACAAAAGATGGAAGAAACACTGGCCATATAAATAAAAACGTGGCCACACAGTGGCTCAAGCCTGTAATCCCAGCACTTTGGGAGGCTGAGGCAGGTGGATCACTTGGTCAGGAATTGGAGACTAGCCTGGGCAACGTGGTGAAACCCCGTCTCTACTAAAAATACAAAGAAAAAAAAAATAGCCAGATGTGGTAGTGCATGCCTGTAATCTCAGCTACTGGGGAGGCTGAGGCAGGAGAATTGCTTGAACCTGAGGGGCGGAGGTTGCAGCGAGCCGAGATCATGCCACTGCACTCCAGCCTGGGTGACAGAGCGAGACTCCATCTCAAAAATAAAAATAAGAAGTAAAAATATAAACCTTATTCACCTTTCAGCATAATGCATTTAAAATCAGGATTAAGTATTATAAATAAAATTTGAATGACAATTTGAACATTTCAATAATATTGTTTTCCCTGTTGACGCTCCCATTCTTTCAAAATGGAAGCAAGATACAACTTTTGATTTTTTTTTTTTTTGTTTAAGATGGGGTTTCACCATGATGGCCAGGCTGATGTTGAACTCCTGATCTCAGGTGATCTACCCACCTCGGCCTCCCAAAGTGCTAGGATTACAGGTGTGAGCCACTGCGCCCGGCCAACTTTTGAATTTTTTATTAGTAAGCACTTTTCTGATCTTGAATCAAAAATTTAAAGCATGGCCGGGCATGGTGGCTCATCTCTGTAATCCCAGCACTTTGGAAGGCCGAGACAGGAGGATCTCTTGAGGTCAGGAGTTTGAAACCAACCTGGACAGCATAGTGAGAACTTGTCTCTATTTTTTTTTTCAAGAAGTTTAAAAAAAACCTTAGAGTACCTTAAAGATTTCTAGACCAGGGCCTCTATTTTGTAGATAAAGAAACTTCAATATGATTACATGATGTGCTCAAGTCCTGCAGCTAGCAAGTAAGCACGTGCATCAATTATAAACTGCGTCTCCTAAGCCTGATGTTCTTTTTGGGATGACTTTCAGTTTGGTCTCAGTTGTTACTAAATCAACTCCATCTCTCCTTCAGTCCAAGTTCCAAATGATTTTTGAATAATCTCAAGTTGTTTATAGTGAACCAATTTAGTTTTGTTAGTTCAATTTAAAACGAGAATTCATATTTGCAGTTCAAAGGAAAAAGTAACTGGAACCCGTATGAAGATCACAGTCATGGTTTCTTTGGATTGGTGGTTCAACCCTGGATACATATTACAGTCATCTGGGTCTTCTGAAAATAACCTAAGCCAGGGCTCATTTCCCTCCTTGGGGCCAGCCAGACATAACTAATGGTATTTGTACAGCTTCTAAGTGACTCCCCCGTGTGGCAAGAGGTGTAAACCATTGTAGGTGCTTGCTTTAGATGTTGGTATACAAAGCTTCATAGGCTTAAAATTCTCTTTAAATCTGTGATTTTCTCAGAGCCAGAAGGGGTAATGTAGTGATCAAAAGAAACTGGGGCTTAAAAAAGTCGGGTGGGGGAGGCACAGAGCTGTTTAAATAGAACAGTGTCCACAGTAAGGGAAGTGAAAGCTCCACTTCCCTCCCATGTGCTTGGAGTAAGATGTAGACTCTTTAGGTCTGGCCACCCTGCTGTACAGGGGGACATTGACACAGCAGTTCCGAAGAGAGCAGCCAGGGAAGTTAAAAGGCCAGTCCCCACTTTTTTTTTTTTTTTTTTGAGAGAATACCAAGACAAACAAAAAGGATGATTGATTTGAAAAGACTTGAAGAGGGATCAGTGTCTTCACCTAATTAAAAGAGTTGCTCAGGAAAGAGAAAGTAGACCAACTCTGTCATTTTGAAAGTAGAATCTAGGGCCAGCGGATGGGAAATGAGAACACGTGGAGCTGAGAATAGAATGAGCAGGTTCCTCAATGGTGAGCAAAGTCAAGGGAAGCAGGGCTGGGGAAGTCCTGCAGAGGAAACCTCCAGGATTGGACAGGGTGGCCTCAGAGTCCCTTGCCACTCTCAGGGTCTGTGATCCTAATCAGCTTACTGAACAGAAACTTAAGGGAAACACCCTGACTTCTCCACTCCATCTCTCTATTGGTGCTGGATTTGTACACCCCGTGCTAGCAGTGACAGATTGGCAAAGCAGTAGAACACAAATGCACCCATTCATGTCTTTCAGAAACTTACAAAAGTTCGCCCCTGAAATCATTTTTGTGTTATGTGTGTGGATGATCACTGCCAGAGGACCCCGACCGGCTCTGCCAACTCTTTTCTTTTTAAAACTTATCTTTATTTCTTACCTTTTTAAAAAAAATCTCACTCTGTCATCCAGGCTAGAGTGCAGTGGTACAATCATGGCTCATGGCCTCAGCCTCCCAAAGTTCTGGGATTATAGGCATGAGCCACAGCACCTGGCACATGCTGGTCTCGACCTTCCAGGCTCAAAGCTTCCAAGAGGCTGGGACTACAGGTGTGTGCCCATGCCTGGCTAATTGTAACTTTTGTAGAAATGGGGTCTCGCTATGTTGCCAGGCCTGGCTGGTCTTGAACTCCTGGGCCCAAGCAATCCTCCTGACTCAGCCTTGTGAGCCACCATGCCCAGCAAGGCCTGCCACTCTTTCCTGACCAGAGACGGGGCTGAATGTAGGAGGTAAGGGAATTAGAAATTTAAGGGTTGTCTTGTGTAATTATTCTGCTATGTGGAGATCTGAGCCATTTTCTTTTGTAAGGGTCCTTCTGGTTGATTGTGTATGTGTTTTGGTTTTCGATTTTTTTTTTTTTTGTTTGGCAGGGGATGGGAGGGACATTTTGAGATTGTTCCAATTGATTGTAGTGATTGAGGGCTTATGATTAGGATTCTCTAAAGTTAACTAGTCAGGCTGAGCATGGTGGCTCACACCTGTAATCCCAGCACTTTGGGAGGCTGAGGTGAGTGGATCACCTGAAGTCAGGAGTTCAAAACTAGCCTGGCCAACATGGTGAAACCTGTCTCTACTAAAAACACAGAAATTAGCCAGGCATGGTGGCTGGTTCCTGTAATCTCAGCTACTCAGGAGACTGAGGCAGGAGAATTGCTCGAACTGGGAGGCAGAGGTGGTGAGTTGAGATCATGCCACTATACTCCTGCCTGGATGACAGAGTGAGACTCTATCTCAAAAAAGAAGAAGAAAAAAAGGAATATATTTTATTTAACTGAATTTGAAATATCACTTCTGCATGTGGCCTGTGGCTACAACCACGGGCAGAGGAGGTGGGCCATGCGTCCTCACTGCTGGCGCAGTGGTCAGGACATGCCCTAGCAGCACCGAGATGTTAGCTGGACTCGTGTCTCAGTCTCCACCTCTGCTGGTTTTGCTTTCCCTGCCTCTTTTACCTTATCTGAAATTCTTCACTGTGCTTCAGGGCTTCCTCTGGCTTATGGGCTTCTCCACCCTGTGGCTTCTACTTCCTATGTCTTCCCCTGGTATCTGCCAGATTCCATACTGCTCTCTCTCTTTTTTTTTTTTTTTTTTTTTTTTTTTCAGATACAGTCTCACTCTGTCACCCAGGTTGGAGCACAGTGGCGTGATCTTGGCTCACTACAACCTCCGCCTCCCGGGTTCAAGTGATTCTCCTGCCTCAGCCTCCCAAGTAGCTGGGATGACAGGTGCATGCCATCCTGCCCGGCTAATTTTTGTGTTTTTAGTAGAGATGGGGTTTCACCTTGTTGGCCAGGCTGGTCTTGAACTCCTGGCCTCAGGTGATCTGCTCACTTCGGTTTCCCAAAGCACTGAGATTACAAGTGTGAGCCACGACACTGGCCCATGCTTCTCTCTTGACAGTAGGTGCCCTCTGTGTCCCATTCACACATTCCCAGAGAGTCCGGCCTCGGGTCATGCAGCCATTGTATGTATACACCATGAGGATCCCTGTTCTGGATCCACTCCACTTCTCAGGCTGCTGCTGACCTCTTTGCGAATAGCTGCCCTTTATGTAGCCCCAAGTTGTCCAATCAGCGGTGACCAGGATGGCGGGGTCATGTTGTTCAAAAAAGCAAAGCCTGGACAACATAGTGAGACCTTGTCTCTACAAAAAAATCACAGAAATAGCTAAGCATGGTGGCATTCACCTGTAGTCTCAGCTACTGGAGAGGCTGAAGCAGGATCGCTTGATCCCAGGAGGTCGAGGGTACAGCAAGCTGCGATAGCACCACTACACTCAGCCAAGCAACAGAGTGAGACTCTGTCCCAAAAATGAATAAATAAGCAAAACAAAACATGGGGCTGGGCACGGTGCCTCCTGCCTGTAACCCCAGCACTTTAAGAGGCCGAGGCAGGCAGATCACCTGAGGTCAGGAGTTCAAGACCAGCCTGGCCAATATTTCGACACTCCATCTCTACTAAAAATGCAAAAATTAACCAGGTGTGATGGTGCACACCTGTAATCCCAGCTATTCAGGAGGCTGAGGCAGGAGAATTACTTGAACCTGGGAGACAGAGGTTGCAATGAGCCGAGGTCATGCCACTGCACTCCAGCCTGGGCGACAGAGCAAGACTCCGTCTCAAAAACAAAAACAAAAACATGGTTCATTCCTTATACAAAAGAGGTCCCTTAAGAAGCAGCATTTCCTCTAAAGGCCTCTCATAGGCCTCTCTGCATGGCCTGCTCAAGGGAAGGTGCCCATGAGGAGAACGGTGTTACAGAAAGGGAGTTCGCATGTGGCTTTATGATGGGAAGCCTTGGCCGGGCCTGGTGGCTCACGCCTGTAATCCCAGCACTTTGGGAGGCTGAGGTGGGCGGATCACCTTCAGGAGTTAAGAGACCAGCCTGGCCAGCATGGAGAAACCTTGTCTCTAC